ACTTTTCCTTCGTGACGACGAAAATGTTGTAAGGTGTGGTTGGTCTGGAGTTATTGAACAACGCCATATTCCTACAACCTTTAGAAGTAATTTAGAGATGGATGAGGTAGTGACTCCTTGATGGAGCGGGACAAAGACACAGCGTGCCTTCCTTCATAAATCACTGCAGTGAGTGATGAAAAATTTATGGCATCTCGTGCACCACATTCGAACCAAGCATCACACCGTTACAAGCAATGGAATTATAGCTAAGCACATCTACTGACGATTAAGATGTTTTTTAAAAAAAATGCAAATCAGCTATTAACTTAAACCTGCTTACACTGTGCGCTGTACTTTAGTTAATCCCACCATAAAATTACCGTCTACGACCAAACGGTGCTCGTTCTCAGAACTATTGCTAATGTAATTCCAGTTGAAATGCTCCTCGTTTTTATATAAACTATGTTATTCATGAAGTAAACCAAGATTCTGTAGTGTTTAGAGTTTCAAAGACATCCCGTTGGAATCAAAATTTGTAGAAGTAGCGTCTAATTTTGCATCGTGTACATATTTTCGTGTACGATGAGGGTTTCTTGATAAAATTAAGTCAGTTTTCGGTTCGACAGTAAAGAAAGGCATATGTTGGGCGCACAAGAACGAAAATTAGATTCGACCTGTCAAATATTAATGCGAATTTAAAATACAAGTTCTGGTTCATACCCGTTTAAAAATTTCGGAGATAAAATAAAACGACAGACAGTCTCCTCTACATGCACTCGCGTTGAGTAAAGAGTCCTTAAAGTGTCTCTTCGGTATCAGGAACTCTGCACATGGTATCCCGTTTCGCCTTGCTTGCAGAATCACAAAGTCCTGCATAGCGAATTGCATCCTCAATTGTCCCTATAAACATTTGTGTTATGCTTTGAAGAACTACTTTGGCCAGTCGTCTGTGACAGCTGCAGATAAGAACTGCAATGAAGAGCGATACTACGCGGTCCATGAAGTTGCTGATTCGAGAGCAACCCGCCCGCCTCACTCTGTGTCTTACACACTACAACGACTCTTTGGTGGAACGTCACTGTATAGCCGTCACAAATTCCGATTCGTATCTTGAAGGTCCAAGTTCCGAATTTCGGTTCGGAAACTGGTTAACTCTACTGAGGTTTCTGATAACCTCCTTTTATTGTTGATCTTCTGGGTTGTAACGCCTTGTACACTTGTTGGCAGATATCAACTTCTCTGAGGAACACTCTGCCTTTATCTTCAGACGTGAAGTTGGAAGCACTATGTTCCGATAAGTTGGTATCTACCGAGGAGTCTGTAAGACGTTGCAGCCCAGGTCAATATCGGTTCTTCACCCCTGTCAAAACCTCATATCGCTTTTTCCTTAAACAAAACATAATTTGAAACGACATGAAAATATAACATAATATAATTTCTTTAAAATCTTTGTACATCAAAAAGGTTCATATCAATGTGTCTAGAAACAACTGTAGATTTATTAATAATTCTTGCAAGATTTTGGTTGTCCCGCTGAGAGGGAGATGCATTTTTTATGTCATAACCGTATCTCGCAGCTGTAATGTGTGGGTTCTAAATATGCATATTGAAATTTGAGTCAATACTCTTTAAGAAGATTAAAAATACTTCAGTTGCACTGGATTTTGTAGACTGTACATTGCCCAAGTCTATCTTTCAGAGAACAGAATGACGCAAATAAAGAAACTCAAGCAAAGTATGATCCTATTCATTGATCAATGACTTAATAACATTAAAGTTTGCCTCAAATTATTATGAACCACACTGACATACTGAATTAAGGGCATGTACTAATATTATTCAAGATTTTATAAAGATATCTGTAAAATGTTGTAGTTAATTATCAAATGAGCATGTATAAAGACGCTAAACGGTCGGGAAGGGCACTCATATATTAAATTAATGCATACCACATATCTCATTAAATTCCCTTACATTATACTCAACCACAAGGAAGTCAAATCTCATTTGCATTTTCACAGCGTATACAGAGTGGTTCAAAAGTCCCTGTTCACCTGCAAGAGCAACACGTATTGTAATTAGCAGCCATAATTATGTTCAACACAAGAAATGTGTGTGTTCTTACAAGTGCTCAGGGGATTTTCTGTCGTCGTGTGTTTCTTCGATGTGAGAAACGGTGACCATGCTAGTTTTTTGGAAGGTAAGAGGTACGAACACAGAGACCAACGCTTGTCAAGCGCCCGCGAACCTCACTCGGCCATAATTAAGAACGTGACGTACTCTGCGTAGGTCTAATTGGAAACTAATTCGTTAGACCTGCGATAAGGAGGGAAGAGGCTTGATGACTTCCCACTTTCTCGATGTTATTCTTCTAGGTTGTGACGAGGTGTGCACATGTAAGTAGATACCAACGTTTCTGAGAAAACTACTGTCTGCAGCACAGAAGGTGGAGACAACATGTTCCTCCAAAACGTTGGTATCTACGAGGTGCGATCGGAAAGTTTCAAGACTGTGTCAATAGAGGGCGAACCGGATGTAGTACGAGCTTCTGCCGCTAGAGGGTGCGGCCTACATTCATAGTGAATCAGTGTGCCAGCCGGCATCATCGAATTAGCATTTGTTTCTTAGTTACGGGCGTTTTGGTAGTGCATTACCCCGACCCTCCTGCGATTTCGGAATGGCGTGTGCATCAAATTTTGCCAAAGACTCGCCAAAACGGCTACGGAAACCTATGAAATGCTAAAGAAAGCATTTGGGGAGTCCGCAATGGGTAGTTCACAAACTTTTATGTGGCATTCATGTTTTAAAAATGGCCGAACCTCTGTCGAGGGTGACGAGCGTTCTGGACGACCATCTTCGAGCACAACGCCCGAAAATGTTACGAAGATTCGGCAGGCCATTCACGAAGATCGACGTCGTACCATCAACGACTTGTGCGACATTGCTGGGATAGGCTATGGGACCTGTCAGCAGATTCTACACCTGCAATCTATGTTCCTCCCTCAAAGTGAGAGACCAAGTTTTGCAACCATACAAAACAACAGGAAGAAATATTGTTTTGTATACTTTAATCTTCAGGTTTTTAGAAATCAGACAGGAAGACAAATATTTTGAACTGGAAGTAGGAAGCATTTCAGAATGTAGTCTCCTCCAAATTACCTCATGAATATCATTTTGATTTCTTATTGCGTACCTACACGTTTGTAAGGCGTCACGACCCAGAATAACATCGATATTATCGCTGCCGTGAGAATCTAAAATGTCACACAATTGCAATTTTATGTAAGGACAGAACTTCTGTGGTTTTCTTTTGAAGTCGGGAGGAAGGGTACACCGCTTACATATTCAGGGCACAAGTAACAGAAATGTTGGAATCGTTTTACAATACTGCACGGTATCAGAAACTTGTCTAAATTCATTTTAACAACTCTGTATCGACAGCAAAATTGGTTCAGAATCGGACGAGAGAGATTAGGAATTGTAATTAATACAAGATGCGGCCGACCTAATTAGTCTTTCGTGTGCCTCTACAGCCAGAGGAGCCCCTAAAAAATTTGTCATGAGGCATGCGGTCGAGATTAAAACTGGTTACCTCCCATACATGTAGCACGTTTGCCTCACATGAGCCACATTAATTCAGTCTACATTCTCCCACTCATTTCCCACCACGCGTAGGTCCTCCTCCTCCAGGATTTCCAACCTAAACTGTGTGCGAAATTTTCTCCGGCGTCTCGTATCACTTTCTTCTTCTTCTTAGGGTCAAATATTGTCCTCAGCACCCTGTCCTCAAATACCCTCAATCTGTAATCGTCCCTTAATGTGAGAGATTATGCTTGTCACTCATACAAAATAGATCAAATTATAATTTTGTATATTTTAATTGTTAAAATATATAAGCGTTCCTCGAATTTAATTTGCTTCCTTTCTTCATGAATAAAATATTTATTTATTATTGTTTTTAGGTAGGCCATTTTATTTTTCCACATTTTCGATTAATTTATACTTGCTGTCTTTATATTATGAGTTTGTATTTCAGTCTTGTGATAGGATATGAACATACGACATACCATCAAACGACTTTTGGTACAGACAGGAATTTTACATATCAAATATTTATCTCATTAAATATTTAACTTTATATTAATACTTCTCGATTTTATACATATTTATTTAAAGGACAACGAAAACATATTTTATTTTAATTAAATTATTTTATCAAAATATGACTCATCGAACGAGACACAGATGAAATAAAATTATTATGCATAATATTTTATGTATAGAATGGGACAGTTTTCCGTGGGCAGCGATGCGAAATGCGTCACATCTTCTCGCCCCATTCTGTATGAAACAGAAAAAGATCCGGTCGAAGTTTACTAAGAAATTTGCTATATGGAAATGAATTTTGTACAGTTAATGGAAGAAATATAAAAAAAAATACGACCAGCTGTGAGTGGTTAGAAAATTAGAAACTACTAAAGGACAACATTTACTGGTATATGACATCTAGAAATAACGAATATGCTTTCAGCACAAACTAAAATACGAACATAGACAAAGATGGATGATAAATTTTGAAGGGAAGACAGATGAAAGGGTACGCAAATAGACTCCACAAAATAGACCAAAAGAACGAGTATATTAACTCGGAACAGACATGAATGATTATACCACAAGATGTAGAATAACTTTTTAAAGAAAGATTTCTTGAATTACTGTACATTTAATGCTAAAGAAGGAGGCATTATTAATGTCTCAGTACTGTACTGTACCATATCAGTTTTATTTGTTCGCTCTGTAAGAACAGATTCATGTATGAAGTAAGTTATCAAATTCAACGAGGCAGGCGAAATCTTGCACAATAAATAAACTTGAAAAGTCATATGTAGAAGTGAATAATAGATTCTATATTTAGGCATCTATTGTTACTGCAATATTATCATTACTGATTGACTTTCATATAAGCACTTAATTGTAAATTTTATGTATTTTGCAATACGCAGAACTGCATAACTTACCTGGGGAATGCTGAGTGTAAGACTCAATACCCACACGAAAATTATGAGGCGATTCAAACGCCGTGCAGTGTTGAGGGATTTCATCGGATACTTGACAACCACAAATCTGTCCACTCCTATAAGCACGAGCACAAATGTCGAGAGGTAAAGACTGGACATCTGAAGAAACTTGAATATCTTGCACTCTGCGTTACCAGCTACCCACGCAACAGTATAGCTCCAGGCAGCTTCACCAGCAAGACAGAACAGTGTCACCAACAAATCCACTATGGAGAGATGCAAGATCAGCGTGTACACCGCGCTCCACGACTGATGAGATCTTTTCGCAGACCTGTTCTTCCTAATGCTCGCTATTGTCCACGTGTTTCCCACAAATGACAAGACTGCCATTACTGTGAGGACGGCTGTCTTGACGGCTATCTTGTTAGTAAACTCTGGTGCGTGGCGCAAGCACTTGAACTCACCACTCGAATTTGCGTACACTGTCAGCAACGTCCACAAGGAAGCGTTAAGGCTAATGATTCTCTGACACTCTTCTGCAGGCAATGCCGTGATCATACCAACGTCGCTCATCCCTGGTAAACCTATTAGCAGTAACAGTTCCTCCGGACTGACATCCTGGGTTGATACATCGCTGTCGAACAGCCGTGGGTCAGTAAGGCTCGAGCTGTTGAAATTGGTACTGCCATCACGAAATGGAACTACGTCTGTGAACTGGGGGATTCGAGATTGCATAGTTTCTAATCCCGTTGTCTTTGCTGCCTATTCCGTCAAATATGGTAATGAAACCATTATGTGACTACAGAGTTAGGTTACGGTGTAGAAACGTCAATCATATGAACAGTTTAGACATTCTGATAACTACAATATTAAAGTCTTAAAATGTCGTAAACTCTTTCACACGTTTGTTCCACCGTAGTCCATAATAGCAAGCCGTGACACTTATAATTAAAATGTATTTTTATTACCTTACAGAATGTCGTCTGTGTTTACACGTTTGTTCCACCGTAGTCCATAAAAGCAAGCAGTGTCACTTATAATTAAAATGTATTTCTATTACCTTACAGAATGTCGTCTGTGTTAAGGGACTATTTGCTGTCTCGGTTGCATTTTCTAATGAAGTTTATTTAAATTCTTATCTCAATATGTAAATATGAACTCAAAATTAATCATCTTAGAAGAATCTTCATACACAAGTTGTTAATTCGAACTAAAACTAATTTGAAGGTCATTTCTGTTCGTAATTATTTCACACTGTTTCAAACACAATTTATTTATAACTTCATGTCTTTTATGTCCTAAATTCTTCACTTGAATAATATTCTGCAACTCCCAATATATTAAAGGGTAATTACCTGAACCATTAAGTTTTTAAAAATAATATTCATAAGTTTCTTCTAAAATCGCTTTTACTGTCATGTATATAAAAATAAAAACTTTATGTTCATCCTCTAAATTATGAAGTCGCGTGTTAAGTAATTAAAATGGGCATGGCTGTCGTTTACGAGCAGTGCTGCGTTATAGTCACTAAACAAAAGACAGACGTCTAAAACAAAGAGATTGAGGACATTAACGCCACGAATAATGTTGACACGCCGTTATCTGTGAACTGTTCTTCAACCATTTCAAAGGGAAATTTAAAGTCTTACAGATGTCAGTACAAGAAATGTTAAGTGATTAAAAAGCGCGATAAAATATATCCGTATTCAAACAGAAAACTTTCGTTCTTAAGGCGCCCAGACAGAAATTTCTTCACAGAATTCATTAATTCGTTAATAAATGAATTGATGAATTATCGTTGCTCGCTTGCATTCCCTTCTGCGCGTCGCGGTGGAACGAAATAAGAGAACGGTAGCTGCTCGTGCGTCCGTCCAGCTTGAAAGACGCGGTGTGACTGCCGCCACGAACTGACAGCACGGCGCGGCGCGCCACCTCCCCCCTCCACATTCCCCTCACTTCCACCACGAAACCCGTTCGCCAACTCCACACTCGGGATCATTTAGTTACATCTTCAACTTCAGTAGAACTTAATTGGAGGAGACGATGACGGTCTTTAGGGATGTTTCGCCGTGTAGTCTAGTAAAAACCTATCGAAGATTCAGAGGTGCGTACTGCCTCCATTATCAGGGCGATGTGTCTCTCTTGATTTGCGGTTGAAGACGGAAGATTGCTGTCTTATGGGATGTTGCGCCGTGCAGTCTGATGCTGATGGATGCAGTAAGCACCTGTGAAACGTTGGAAAACGTTCACCAGGCTACACGGCACAGCATCCTAGATGACAGTCATCTTCAATCTCCCCGCCGTAAAAACCTCAAATCTTACAACTAAAGAGCTTAATGACTTTTCAACAGCCTCTGAAATGTTTCGGTGTTGTAGGAATGCAGGGGGCATATGAATGTTAAAACTGTAACATTTTATCGGAATATCAAGACAGGCAGAAACACTGATTGCGCTCTAAACTAACTTACAACGAGGTGCTAACAATGTTTCTCCGAAACTTTGATATCCACGCGACGTTACAACTCAGAAGACCAATATCGAAAACTTAACCTCCGTAAGAACCTCATATATTCCATCATTTAATGACGTGTTTGCCTTGACACTTGTGGATGGCTGGAAGATATGTGAAAGTAAACGGCCATGAACTATGTGAGGTACTGCTGTAGGAAAATCACGTAAAACCTCCTTAGGGCATAAAATCAAACACGAGGCTCCAATTGTCGATCGAGATTTCTAATTTCTGTGTTTGTTCGAAAGACGGCTGTGAAAATGTCTTGAATGACAGCTCTTTGTATCTTGAAAGACCAGGCTGTCTTCTGAATGTGAGGACTTAATCAAACGTTTCTGTGCTATGGCCGAGTTTCACCGTAAAGACTGAAAAGGCCTCTTACGAAAATGAAAGGAATCTTTACGTGGGCAAACAGTCTACGTCAGCTGCTCTGACAGCCCTTCGATCTCAAAAAAATTCCATGAGAAGGAAAAGGAAACAGGTTTGAGTAATTCAGACATCTGAAAGCAACAGCCCTGTCGAATTTCCTTCATTGCATCTGCATTTCTAAAAGTAAGCTTGTCCGATTTTCATGTCAGTGTAATTTAGAGTAGACTGTCTCTTAAGAAGAACCACGGATAAGGTCTGGGCGAAATTCATCGGAATTTGGAGGTCTCTATTTCCTAAAGTGCACATTTGCTTGTATGAACTCGTAAAAGGCTAGTCAGGTTTGTTCGCTTCAAAGTACACGTTTTAACTTGATAACTATTGAACGAATTCTGATGAAATCGATGTGAGCGTTGTGATATTGGAGGTCACCGTCAACTCATACATTTCAAGTGAGACGTTTCAGAGATGTCCTGATAGTAGAGGCAGCAACGACCTCTGAAACGTCGGTAAACTTCTACCATGCTACACGGCGCAACGTCCCAGAAGACAGACATTTTCATGCATTTTAATTTGATTAAAAATGCTATTAACAGGGCGGAGGCAAACACTTTTGAACTGGATACAATGTGTACGGTGGGGCTGTTCATGTCGATAAGCAGCATGTCCCGTAAAGAATGCCTTCAACATCCGTTGCAAGAATTTGTGGACGTAAGTTCAAGTGAGCTGAGTATGAACTATAGTACCATTAATGTCAGATGACACACCGATCGATAGAAATGCGAATGAAAAGCCCACACAAGGATTTCTGTCGTCGCTCATAAAATTTCTGACAGTACCAATGCGACATTCTAATTAATTAGAAATTGCAAGTCTAATTTCTCTTTCGTTCGAGTAAACTAATTATATTAGGTGCTTCGCTTGTCACCGCAGTATGGGGTCCTCAGGCAGAGAATGCGTCTCCTAGACGACCTCTAGATATGGAGCGTAGCTACGAATATAAGCAGTCGCGGACAGCCGACGAGGGGTGGCCCTAAAGCTTGGGGTTTGAGCGTTGGACTAACGACTTCCCACCATAAAAAATAGCATGTTACGATGTATTACACAGGACCTCTGACTTGGTAGGCTTATGTGAATACGATGATGAACCTTTTGGTCATTAAAGACGGGATTTTATTGGCTAGTTCAGTGTACTGTCGTCATCTTCTGAAGAAGAACTCAGGTCTGTAGAGTTTATTAACAAGTAAATTAAGCAATAAATGTATGACTTTGGGCTATATTAGGATTGATATCACAGGCAGGCTTCAGGATTACCCATGAAAGCCCATACATAGTTTAGGGAAATGAACACGTGACAATTAAAAAATGGCTCGACAACCATAGAGCAGGCCGCAGAGTAACCTTCTTACGAATTCTGGACACATTTCACCCACGTCCTCGTAACTTCTGCTTGTTTGAACACAAATTTCACACCGCAGAACTGCTGATTGGCCGTAACTACTTAGGGCAGTGTCGTGCAAATAGGCCCTAGTTAAAGTGACAGCACTTCTGCTTCTTATAGAGGGTTTTCACTTACAACTTCACCTCGCTCTACAGAAACCACAGGACTGCTCCTAACACGCATGGTGCTGTAAGCAAGCCCCTGAAACCACGCACTTTATAATACTCGTACATATTAGACTGTTCCTTCGATGCCAGTCTCGCCATTGTTATTATTATTATTATTTAGCAAGTGAAAGAAATTAAAATAATTAAATTATTATATGATCACGTGGCGAAATATTTTCCAGACAGAAAATTATTTCCTAAAAAAATTGAAAATATCTCACAACTTACATGTCTACCAAAATTTCGCACGCATGTTTTGTTTTCTTCAATCGCGGTATATACCCACCCTTCTCTGCCCCTTTACATTTTATCATCCCGATAATAGGTTTAATTATTCTGTTACTATAAACTGCATTACCAGCAAGGGAACTCTCAGTTCAGGCGAAACGTTTGAAACAGTTGTGTTAATCTATCTGCAGAAATAACAGGTGTTCATTCAGTTCATTTCGACTGTTAAATACCACTACATTCAGATTCGAGTGTTCAACTTTAAACAATTACCATTCGCTATAAACGTTTATCGTCGTGAATGGTCCCACTGAGGGACACTGAAATTCACGCCGAATAATGAACCTTTGTGTATGTTCTAAGATCCTGTGTTTCCAACAATATTAAAACTTTTTGCTACTATAAAATATTAATTTCGATTTACATAAATATTATATTTATGATTATATTAATTCTGATTACTTGACGCTCTGAAAAACTAGAAAGCCTATAAAACACTAAATCAGAGAATCAGACGTGGGGAAATCTTCAGCTGTATTTATTGATAAGATTCAAAGTTACCTTATGCAAAAACTGTATGGAATTCCCAATCACCTTTTTATTTTGTGGGACAACTAACTCCACCAAATATATCTGCCCATCTGTCTTTTGTTCCGAAGTCATTTCCAGTACAAAAATGCTACGATATTTTACCGACGCATTTACGTTTTACACTAATTTCTACGCGCATTTAATAATTTTCAACTGCCACAGTCCCAAAACTCTAAGGATTAGAATATACAAAATAATAATTTTACGTCTTTTAGTACGGTTGTGAAATGTAGTATCTAATCTGGGAGAACTAAAGTAAAATATGACAAATTGCAGCGCCCAGGAAAATATTTGATCTAATGAAGATGAATTTAATATACAAGTTAGGATACTGGTTTTTCAAAACGAAAAAAATAAATTATAGTAACTTAGTATGGTTAGGATTTTGAAATTTAGGAAGCTTACAAGTGACTGGATATGAAGCTACGACGGAAGATAATACAGTCTGTTCAAAATATTCGAGCATATTATATATTGCCATCTTTAGGGCGAATATGTAGTATATTACACATTTACCCTAAATACAACTGCAGTATTTGCCGAAATATTTGATAATTTTCAATATTGGACGTAAGTCATCACCGAAACCCGAAGTTTTACAAATAGGAATATTCTAAAGCATTCATTGCCATCAGTACGTCCACAGCTACCGTCCATAAATTATCTGGAGGTCACCACCTCCAATTTCAACCTGAGGACGCCATACCAAGGTCGCAATGCACTCAGCCTATAAGAAGTCGCAAAATTACAGTTAGATTTTTTCGTATTCAGGAAATATTTACTGTCCTCATTTTCTTCATTAGACCTTGAAAGATTCTCATTATCAGGCACGAAATTGTTCGATTTTTATGTATCTAGGAAGAAGACAAGATTTTTTCATCACAGTAGCACAGAGAAAGTAACTAGCCCAGCCTAAGGTCCTGGAAACAAATAACGAAGCACTACCCTGCTTAAGTTAAATATTTGATTAACTTTGTATTAAATCACAAAACTTGTTCGTTCAAAACTCGTAGACAGTCCCGTTCATTTGAACTGTACAGCGTCTGGATATCAGGACTTGAGATCAGCCAAAACCCTTTATTGAAAACCCGCGAGCTATCTTATGACGTAGCGGCTACGAACACGAGGAAAAATTGATAATCGATTAGTAGCGAGCCTCAGGATATGCTTGTGGCATGCACCGATATTTGAAAGCAAGGCTCGATCTTCTAACTTAAAACTTTAACGCACGACACAAGTATTAAGGATAGAGTCTTACTAAAGACTTTACTCACCAAACCATGTTCAAGGTACGACAAGTAGATAATTTTAGTTCTTATCATGATGGAAGAGGAAGCCTTCAAGTATGGAGGGTATCTGCAAATATTTGAATAATCAAACTCGGAAAGGAGACAAAGGATGATTCTACAGGTTTGAGATTGGATTAGAGGCCAACAATTCGTCGCATTTCAGAACCAACATATAAATATTCAACGGGGACTCCGATGTCTATTTTGTATTGTTCGTTTGGTTGAACTTTACAAGACTTAGCACAGAGCATGTAAATCCTTCCTCCAGACAGAATTAGAACTATGCCTTGTAACTTACAGACCCACCTTAATT